ACACACCAAAGACGTCGGTTCCGTCAATAAGCACTTGCAAAGGCGACATGAAAACAAGTCTAAGTTCTGCTCTTCGTCTACCTCGTCACTCTCAAAACATCTGCTTTCTAAAGTAGAGCCCACGCTTATTGTCTTACAGTCATTCTGCTCTTTAGTACGGATCGTATGCGCTATAACTTCAACTAAAATCTGCAGTTCATCAGGTCTCAGTGCCTGGAGGTTTGCAGCGATGCAATACGAATCCAGCGCATCGGCTATGCGTCCCCCACGGGCTAGAGCGTCAGCTTTCCGCAGGCAAAGGCCACGGTCGGTGTGCTCGAGCTCGGCGAGCTGAGAAGTATAGATCTCCACGGCCAGATCAAAGTCTCCAGCCCGGCAAGCTTCGTCCGCAACCCCGAGCATTTCCGCACACAATATCGTTGCGGTAGGGCTGGAGAGGTCGTGCACATAATGTTCGGCGTGGTTTTGAATCCCAGCATCCATTGTCTGCTACACTGCATAAAATGCTAATTATTTTTTAGTAAAGTGCAACGTATAGGGCTCTGGTTTAAAGCTTTGGCGGAATCCAGGTTACAAATAACCAAATATAGTCCTATTTTAGTTACTTCACAAGAAAAACACCTTTAACGCAACACGATCGGAATATTGGCAAAAATCAATAACAAGGAGGCCAAAGGCTAAATGTTTATATACACTATTCATTTCCCATTCACCACTGCTAGGCCCACCAAAACATCTAAATGACTGACGGTTCATTTCCCGGTAAAGCAAAAAAAACAAAAAAAAACAGCCCTGTCTAACCTATGACAAAACAATACATAACACATCTAGCGATATTCTCATTTAAAGTTGTAACGTAAAAAAAAAGAGAAACGTTTAAATGTCTTCAAAATAAAACAGAATGAGTTCGTTAGGGTTTGTTTTGAAATCGCATGACGTTACGAGTCTCGAAACACGACGCTGACAAGTGAGCAACCGACGAAAGAAAAAGTCGAAAGCTGATTTTCACACATCTACTTCAGTGCTGATGATGAGTTTCTTGATCTCTGCCGAATGAAGCATATTCATGACCGACGTTTAGATGACCCATTAGTTTTATGTAAGACTCAATGTCTCCGGCAGCGGTACTTTGCGTAACGTTAATCCTCCCGAACTCTCTTGCTTGGAATGCCCTTTAAAACGGTCCTTCTCCGGGGCCCTTTTGTTCTGATCATTCTACAGGATGTCCATGTCTTATACGAGCCAGTAGAAACGGTAAATATTAATCAGTTGTTTTAATAAAATGGAGACAGCTGCGACGTTACCATTCGGTCCGCACTAACACGGGAAAATGTGATACTGTCTGTCTTGCTCTCGTTCACGTAAGAAGCACGTGACGTCAGGATTGAGGCCTCATTGGTGCAATAGCGTCTGTCTGCGGACTGCAAGAGTCCCTTCTCCATTGGTGTGTTATATAGCTCACTTATATAATGACAAAACAGTTGTGTAACCTAAAAGGGGCAGGTATGTAAAAAAAAAAACCAGATCATTTCACATAGAAAAAAATATATAATGTTATATGATGATTTTGAGCCTATGGCATGTGAAAGACAGTCAAAAACTGACAAGACATTCATAAATGGCACTTGCTACTTGCTAGAACATAGTCACCTAACATTTATGCAAAGTTTTATGTAATTGTTTACTTTATGTAAGATACCATTTAATAGCCTACGTTCAGTGTGTAACAATAAGGAATAAACCTTGTAGAATTTTTTTTTCAGATATTTATGCAACATGCAGTAGGCTATTTTTTATTTATTTATTAAACACATTATGTACTGAAATAAACATCAGTTTTTATGTACAAGTTAACTTGCACACTAAAATATGGAAAAAGCCACACTTAACTGACTTTATTTTAAAGAAAAGCTAAATATTCAAAGTTTCTCAGTGAAAAGTGACAAGGATGAACTTCTGGGATCACCAAGTGCACTTAATCCCTGTAGTAAATCCTACAACACCTAAGATCATAGTTAAAAGTAATCCCCTGGAAACACCTGTCTGAAGAAGTAAAATATAGCAACCCTGGGCTTTACCATAAAATCTAAATGGAAAATGATTGTGTTTTATGCAGTGTTTGTTATATTATATATGATTTATTTGTGGACATTTTTTAAAGTTCCCTCATAATATATAATGAACAATCTTAACATGCCCACCCCTCACAACAACATCTCTTCTCTGATTACGTGTATACTGGTGTGATACATGCTTTAGTAAGCTCTATATGAGAGCACACTATATGAGAGCTCTTGTACTTACATTGATATTAGTATTGTAATTTAAAGGTACCGTGAAAAGATTCAGTGGTTTTCTCAATGGACATCTTCTGAATACCTGCAAGAAATCAGTTATTTACTGACCAGGAAATTCAGAAGTAACTCAAACTTCCTTAATGATACATGTCTAGAATTTAATCATCTTAGCTGATTATTCACCTGATATGTTAACAACATTTATGATATTCAAAAGGACTTATTCTGGATATAAAATGTTAGCTGTCTGCTAAACATCTCCTTTTTAAACTTTTTGTCATCTGTTCTTTATCAGGCAATAACATAATTATCAGCTTATTGGTATCACTACAATTACAATATTACACACAATTACAAGTCATATAATAATCACACACCATTTATAAAACATGCTATATTAGATAACATTTAACCCCCATGTACTGTTCAAAAACAGGTTACTTCCTATCTTCTGGGTCAAATTGACCCATATTGGATTCAATGTAATTCCACAAAAATTACAATATATATATATAAACAACATACAATCAAGTACAATCAATTAACCTTTAATATCAATACTTTTCACTCATTACAAAGAATAAATATCTGAATTTATGAATTCATGAACAATGTTTTTAACCACTATTTTTGACTGCCCCTCCCCCACTCCTGTGGGTTGTTTGCAATTACACATTTTTTAACAATAATATCTTGGTCTAAACCTAAAGTAATCTTGACAAACTATACATCATTTGAAAGGTCTCAGACTCTAGTTTTCATATTTGGTGACTGTTTTTCAAAGAAATGACAGAGCAATAGATAAATGATAGATTCTCCATTTCTGATGTGGTGCCAAACACACTCTTGTTCTATAAGCGTTAGTTCTGGCAGGTCACGTTAGTCAAGCTCGCATCAGCTGACTCTCAGCTGATCCCCATCTACCTATGGGAATACGACACCTATCTAAGCATTCATATATAAGGTCCCTCAGTATTATCAGCAGTTTTCGCATTGCTAAATAGCTAATTACCCTCCCCCATCCCCAACTCCTCCTTTGTCAGTCAGGATTCAGCCTTCTGATTATCCTTTAAATCAGACTAATTCTAAAATGTGTACATAAAATTATTGAACTTTAACAATATCTGCAATACATTTATGTTGGTTCTGTTCTGTTTACCCTGGGGGGTTATCGCTGCTCTCCTTGCTCTCATCCATGCTAGGCTGCATGGATGTGCAGGGAGTTCTTGCCCAGAACAGAACCATACCGCCAATCCAAACTGTATGCTAATTGTCAATCATCTTTGACAATAGTGGTCCTGACAGAAATATGTTTTTATGTGTAAATATTAAAGTTACTGCTCAAACTATTTCTGAATAGGATGTCTACTTCATAAATATTTAGAAAATTATGGAAACATATGGTTCAGATCACTCAAACAATAAATGGAAATCAAGAGTCCCTGGATATCAACTAGGGGAAAAGTGTGGTACTGCGCTCACAAAATCTTACTTAAAAGTTCATTTTTTTGAGATATCAACCTAAAATTTGGCACAGAACTTGTTCAGATGTTTGCCTTTGATTTTCTTGAAGATTTGGAGGTAAACATGTTTTGTAAAATATATATTTTACATAAAATATAAAAATTTATATTTTAATATTTTACATTTTCATAAATTTAAACATAAAACTTTTTATTAAATGTACTTTTATAACGTTTTTTTTTACTTCAACAATAACCTGTGATGTTTGACCTTTAAAAAGGTACCAAACTTAAGTTTGTGCTCCGAAGTATTCAAGATTTATAAAAATTTTAGCTGGAAAAGTCATTTTCATGTCTATGCTCAAAAAGTGGGACTTACAGTTAAAAGGTTAAACAGTTTTGTTTTCACAATCTGAAATTAAAAAGTTGTTAAACTCATCAAGACACTGGCACTAGGAGGCACCTCAGGACTAGAGTTGAGGAGCTCTAACATACAAAAAAGGAATTTTGTGTCTGAATTATTTTGTGTCTGTTCTTGTGTCAAATTGACCCGCGAATATATCACAAATGTATAAAAATTTCTGTATGTACTTTTCACAACACATCAGCATGTTGAAACTGTGTATGAATGTTCATGACACTAAGTGAGAAAAAGTCACAAAATTTCAAGAAAAAAACAATATGGGTTATATAGTATTTCAGATAGATTGAAAAAAGTAATGATAGCTCATTTTTACCATCTTTGTCTGACTAAATATTTTTCTGTATTAAAAAGCTATTTTTTAAAATCTTCATAGGATAGTAAAAACTAAAATAACAAAATATAACTAAGAAATTTTATTATTTTGGGTCTGTAGAGTTACCTTAGAACAGGGATCCTCAAATCTGGCCCACGAGATCCACTTTCCTGCAGAGTTTAGCTCTAACCCTAATCAAACACACCTGAGCATGCTAATCAATGTCTTCAGGATCATTAGAAATATCACAGGTAGCTGAGTTTGATCAGGGTTGGAGCTAAACTCTGCAGCGCATTGGACCTCCAGGGCAAGATTTGAGGAACCCTGCCTTAGAACATTAAAATAGGCAGGTCAAATTGACCCAGGGACAGTATGTACACTGTTAGCAATTTCTGTAAATTACACAGTATTTAACTGTAATATGAACTGTACTTTACTGTAAAACAGTTACACAGTACGTTACTGTATTTTAAAGTTGCATTATGGGAAATATCCTTAAAATACAGTATTTTTCATTTACTGTAAATCCAAATACAGTAATAAAAAAAAATGAGCACGAAACCTGACCAATGACAGAAAGGCGTTTTTTCTGCTTGGAAAAAGAAGAAGAAGAAGAGGAAAAGGAAGACGCACACACCTCGCAGCTGCAAATGTATGTACAATATTCCTGCTTTTTCGTTACATGTTTTATGTCAGTGTAATTTTAGGGGTTATTTGTTGGTTTAATTAAAAGCAAAATAATAATAATAAAACGCTGACATTTGCACGACGCGCAGTTTCCTCACGGTGTTCGTTGGTAGAGAGCGGAAAACTCATTTGAGAGTGAAGAGAACTTTCTGTGCAAAAAAAGATCTTTCTTTTCTTTCCTTTTTTGTAGAAAGTTTCACCATCAAAGTGCGAACATAAACAGGTCTCTGTCTTCGTTTTGACCACGTCGGTAGCAGGTGAGTTTTTGTGAACTTGAATGAAAGTTTTGGCCAACAAACTGAACTTTTAATGGTAACGTTACAGCTGTGTAATCGCTTGGCGCTACCCATATATAAGTGTATAACTATACAGCATGCATTTACTGCTAGCGTAAAACCCGCAATGTTCGTCTGCAAACACCGTGGCGTCCCTTTAGAGACATTATATGCATTTATTAATAATGCCAAAGCGTTTTCGTGTATGCATGCACGTTCTTATAGCCTCTGCCGCTCCGCACTTCACTTCAGTCGCACACGTAACATTACCGCAAACACAGAAAGCCCTCAAAAATAGTGAATAGATCTGAACAACACAATCTGAATTCTAGATGCACCGTGGAAGGCTGTAAGTTACAGTCGTGTCGACCATTCTCCAGCCTTTGTGAACACCTAATGCCGAGTTCACACTGCACGATTTTCAAACTCGTCGGATCGCCGTTGTTTTCACACTGCGTGACTATCTGGGGTAGCATTCAGTTGCTGCTGTGTTTACATTGCACCATGGATCAGCGACAGGGGGTTCACACTGCATAACTTCACAATAGGAAGAATCGCCGACAGCTCTGTCTGGTCCGCAAACTACATTTCACAACAAAACACACGCGAGAAGTGAGAAGGAAATAACGCGAGAACCCGCGTGCATCAGACCGGAGTTCTCCAGCAAGACTGTAATTATTAAAACAAAACAAAACAAAAAAATATATATATATAGCCCGCAAGTTGTCTGAGCTGATTTCCAGCTACAAGGAGAAAAATACAAACAGATTATGCAAGAGGGAGAAGCAGGGAACAGGGTTTGGGTGTTCTGCAAAGAGAGTTGGAGGTAAATAATTTTGCAGTAACTGTTATGCTGATGTTGTGGCTGGTCAAGCAAATGTTTGTGCTTGTTTCTGTATGATATAATTGTTTATATATCTATTAAAATACTGATATTCTGGTCTATAACTCCTCCCCGAACTTCCCTCTGCCCTGTATCTTGGTCTCTCATTGGCTGTAGGTCATCGCTGATGTAGTTTTCAGTCAGAAATCATTGCACACAGCGTGATTGTGAATCGATTCCCTCAGATCGCGTCTTTGATAATCCACACTGCATGATTGTCACTCGCGTGAACAAGCACCGATTTGCCTCCGATGTCGGGCAAACCTGTCGGCGAGTGAAAAATCGGGCTAATATCGTGCAGTGTGAATTCGGCATAAGATGACACATTCGAGATGGTAAAAAAAAAACGGAATGTCCAGTTAGTAACGGTCAGGGTTCGTACGGTCATGAAAAACCTGGAAAAATCATGGAATTTTAAAACACCAATTTCCAGGCCTGGAAAAGTTTTGGAAAAATAAATAAACCCAGAAAGTTTTGGAAAAGTCATTGAAATCTATTTCACAAAACTCTGTATAATAGAATTGTGTTTAATCAGGTCCTGAATTTCGGTGCGGGATTGCGCATAGTTTTACTCATTCCCGCAGCTTTTGACTTTAAAATGATGGATATTCACACATTTATTCAATAGCCTATAGCATGTAGGTTTGATGAGTAAATAATCAAACCTACAGACTGAGTCCAGTCCACACAGACTGATCAAATCAGTCATTTGAAAACAGCGTGAGTGATTCAGCTTCTCTCTTTGACTTTCTCTTCAAACGGCTTCACATCGGCGCATCTTGTCTGCGCTACAAGAAACGCTGCACGCTGCGATACAAGACTTTCACTCGCATTTCGAGACAGTTAACAGAATAGTCACTTGCCTAATCGGGTCATTGTTGCATCGTCAGAAAATTTTATTATTTATTTGCACGTCTTTTTAAGCCATTCGGTACTCGCGCGCTCCAGAGGCGTTGCGCAGTCACATCCAAAGTGCGCTCGTGCGTATATGAGTATTGAGTTTGCTACCAAATAAGCTCAGCAGAACCCTGCACGGGCCTCAAACATATGCCCTAGTCCGGCCCTTATCCTCACCTCTTGACTAAAATAAAATCTATAGGCCTATAAAATGCTTAAAAAAAACAATGTTAGTTTAAATGGTTAACCTAGATAAAAGTGTGCTATTAGGAGCGTATCCAATTGTTTGTGCAGAGAAGCTAAAGCGCACTTTGCAGCACGATCATTTGCATTTTTTTTTATAACAGTGGAAACGACCGTCATTTTTGCTCATAAAGGTAAGAGTAATACATCATTCGGGACTGTTAAGGGTCTACTTTTATTTGTGTGCACTCACAATATCAGCATACGGTGTGCTTTGTTAGAAAACAAACAGTATATGCTTTCTGCTGTCTCGGTCTTGAGCAGGAGCACTTCACAAAAATGAACCGAAACCCTGCGAATATTCTATTTCCCCTGGAGCATTCATCATGGTAATTACTTGCTGGCGTTTTGCGGCAAGCTTTGCGTGCGCTTTAACATGGAACTCTTCCAGCACTCGCTGCTGCTGGACACTAAACACCGTCCGAGCCACTCTTGACAGTCGCGGTAGCACGGTCTCGTGTTGTTTCCACCAGCGTGGCAAATCTTTGTCATCACCATAATAATTGATGGATATCTAAAATATAAACATAAGGAGGAAGCAAGCCTGATGCCTGGCCCGTGTCTGAGCTATGACGTGAAAATTGTCCCGAAGCCATATATAAGTTGGGGCCGTTGGGCTCGGGCTGAAATGCAGGGCTCTAAAGCGCAGCTTGTTGCATTTAAGCAGCAAAAATACACACAAAATGACACCAAAATGGCCATCCTGGCCACACAGTTAAATAAATGATAATATTCAGTGATGTGAAATGTGGATAAGGTCTGGCGCAGTTGCAGCTTGTACTTATTACTAAAACAAGAAAGCAAACGAGTAGCATTAATAGTCATTCATTTTAGTTAACATATGCTATGATCATTTGAACAGATTTTTATTCTTATTGTAAAATAATGGAACATTTAGGTCATGAATATTGTCTCAAAAGTCATGGAAAAGTCATGGAAATGTATTGGTAAAAATGTGTACGAACCCTGAACGGTCAAAAGAATTTTAGAGTGAAGTAATCATTTTCAGCACACCTTTTAGGAAGCATAAATGTGATTTTGAGAAATCTGTGTAGATAATAACGTAACTGCACTTTCTGCTGCTGTGCCAGATGTGAATAACGTTACTGATGCAGCTGTCCTGTTGTTGATGGCCCACTTAAAAGAATGATTGCTATAACTGACACTTAGAAAAACTGTGTGGTTTGTGTGTGTGTAGGTCACAACAACTCTGGCAGATGCAAAGATCAGGCTTGACGACTTCTACTCCAAGGCTGATCATTGGTAAGATCTTTTAGTACATGATTTAGTGAGGTTAAAGGGATGATTTTTTAAAAATAAACATTTTGTCACACTTTATTCATGGCTCTCTATGTCTAACTTTCTACCTAACATCTCCTCAAATAAGTCTCGAATAACAAGGTGTTGTAAATGATGATAGAATTGTAATTTTTGGGTGAACTATCTCTTTGAACTAATCAGAAAGGCTCCAACATCGACATATTTTTACTGACACCAAAATAAAATGTGAAATGTTTTTCAAAGCTATAAATATCACAATAAAAAAAAAAACATGAACACGATAAATTATTATAATTTTTTTTTTAGGAGATTAAATTCTACACAGCAAGATGATACCATTGCGCTAATCAGGATCTGGCTAATTCGTTCTTTAAACACACCTGTTGTTGATGATTAGTATGGCTGAATTGAGTTATCTGAGATAATTGCGCGTTCATGGGTTGGTTTAAAAGGGGCTATGTGTCGATACTTGAAACCACGATCAGCAATGCAGCGATTGGCCGGCGGCAAGACAGCAACGTAATGACATAATTTCATTAAAAAAGACACCTAACGAAAAACTTGACAAATTTCTGGACTTTTATAAGGAAAACAAAACTACATAAATGTTCTAATAAATTAAATGTGCACTGTTTTTATTTTACTTTAATTTGTTAATTTAAAAATTATTATTTATATTCACGATTTCTAATATTTGTACAGGCTTTACATTTTTATTTCAATGTAGTAATTACCAATTCATTTAATTTAATTTTTTTAACAGATTTGTTATGTGACAGCATTAATTAAAGTTTCTTAAGGGCCACGATCAAGTTATCTGCATCTCCTGCGCTCCATCAAGCCACTCCCATAATATCTGTCACCACTCAAATTAATGTACGACTCTACATTATCTGTATAGTATGTGTGTAAGACTAATACAATTATGAAGTGATTATTTTATGACGAATAAATCTCTCAATGAGTAAAACCGGCTGCGTCTATAGTATTAAAGGCTACACAACATTATTATATTATCTTTAAATTAATTTTTAAATGATTGTTATTTAAAATTATTGTCCCTGGATTAGTAGGGTACTCTTGTAATAAAGTAGCGGTGGCTGGGACAGATTTTAAGTATCAATTCTGCTTAAAAAGATGCAATCTAATCCTGTTTACATGAAATAAGCCTGCTCCCGAGCAGGTTTAAGTTTACGGACCTGTTGCTATGGCAGCAACTCCGGGATGCGCTTCGAAGAACCAAATGATCCAAGATCATGCCAAATCGTCAACAATCAAATCCAGCTAACTGAGTTAGCGATGTACGAAGAACGAGCCCCTGCCTGGTGAAGTGACTGTCAGAACAGCTCTGAAGATGAAGGGCTCCTCAGACGCAGACGCTGAAACACTGCGAGTCACGTGTGTTTGAGTTTGCGTATCAGTTGAAACTAATCCACGCATTCACACACACAGAACATGCAGACTTATTAGCGACATGCACTGACTGGTTGCTGTAACATTTATTTCTGTTGTGATTAATCCATATTGAGTAAAAATGTCGAGAGTTTATCATCATTATTAACATAAATTTGATCATAATCTCGATATCGCCCGACGCTAATTTAGGCTATTTATAGAACGTGCTTGGCGGGCGACTCAGAGACTCCATGCGGACTACCAGCTGCCCACGGGCACCACGTTGGTGACCACTGATGTAGACCTATTGTTTAAATCAAATTTATGCTTTAAAAGTACCCAGATAGCAAAATACATCTGCAAGATGTCTGTTAAAGATCACTGAATCTGGAAAGCGTCTGCTGTGTACAAACATCTGACAGACGTCTGTATAGGTCCATTTTAAATACATTCTAAATCTTAAATCCCGTTCAGACTACACGATTTTTTGTCTGTTACGACAGTCACTGTGTCAGTTTATACGATTTTGACTGGATAAAATCTTGTCGTGGGTACCAAACATGCCAGACTATGCGTTTCTTCCCGACCAATCATCGTGTGACGTCGTGCGTACTGTCATCAAGAAGCCTGACTTCCGTAAACAGCGGCAATGGATACCGAAGTTGCGTGTTTTGTACTGGCTGTGTTGTCCTCGGAAAAGTGCAAATAAAGAAAGAAAACTCGACTGTGGACACGTTCCTGGCTTGCTCGAAGAGGAAAATATGGGCTGTCAATCCTCCAAAGAGAACTCGAGGTAAAATATGGATTGTTTATAGTTTTATTTTTTAGCCAGACAAAAACAGACCGTTAAAAAAAAATTGAGCTAAAGCTTAAATTAAGCAGTATGCAGCTCCAATGTTTTTACATTTCAGAAGTACAATTTGTTTTATGTAGTCACATGGGGTAAACACAGAGCCTTTTTTTTTTTTTATCTCCAGGTGATGATACATGGGGCAATGTCAGATCGGTCGTGGGCCCCGTGTCTGACATTGTTGCCCGTTGACAGCAACATTGTTGCCTGGCAACATTGCTCAAAAAGTTGCCCCATGTATCATCAGCCTTTGATTGATACATTACTCCACCAAAAGAAGTCACAATGATAAGTTGAATGCACGCATAAAAACTGCAATGCCATTTCCATTGGCATCATTTTTTTGTTTTTAAGTGAACAATAAAACAGTTAACTATTGCTTTGGATTGTAACCAGACTGTTTGACATTCCAAACGGTTTCTTTCTATTTGCACTGAAGGACAGTGATAGGAAGGGTTTTCGTGATCTGCTCAGGATGGATGGGGAGGATTTCAGCTGCTTGCTTGACAAAGTTACACCACTCATCCAAAGAAGGGACACAAAATTTAGAAGAGCCATCAGTGCAAGAATGCGCCTTTCTCTAACGCTACGATTCCTTGCTACAGGCAAGTCAGTTTTAAAAAACAAAAAAAACATAGTGTATTGTGAAAATAATGTTTGTAACCAAACAGATGTGGGGCACCATTGACTACCATAGTATTTTTTTCGTACTATGGTAGTCAATGGTGCCCCACATCTGTTTGGTTTCAGACGTTTTTCAAAATATCTTCCTTTGTGTTCAACTGAACAAAGACAAAAATGTATACAGGTTTAACATAACCTGAAGGTGACTAAATGATGACAGAACTTTTATTTTTGGGTGAACTATTCCTCTAATTTTCCTGTAATTTAATTACAGCTACTTCTGAGTAAATACTGCATAGACTATAGAACAGTTCAATATAAAATAGTAATGGATGTAACAATTTAATGTCTAATGTTAAAATGTATGTTTTCATTGTAACCTCCCTTTAATACTTTTGGTTAGTTCAAGAATATTTTTAAATTAAAAGCGCTATTTTGTGTCTATCCTTGTATTGTTGAACTTTGAGGTTGATATGGGAATAAGTAAACAGTAATGAGTAATGTAAGTCATTAGTACAGTTATCTAGTTACACTGAAGATGCAAGTTGTACCTAGTAATTACTTTTGTAGAGTAACTAACCCAACACTGGAAATTCACAATAACATGCTCCTCTTCACAGGAGAGACATTTAGGTCTCTGAGTTTCCAGTACCGGATCGGCCGTAGTACCATCAGTGAGATCGTAATGGAGACTTGTAAAGCCCTGTATGATGTCTTAAAGGATGATCACTTGAAGGTAAGGCATTTGATGTAAACAACAGGAAGATTGACATTTCACAACAGTGGGTGGCCACAATGAAAGCCTTTACAAGAGATGTCCCAAAACCATGGCTTGGTTTCAGAGACAGGACTTAGATTAAGCTAGGACTAGGACTTAATTAAATTGGACATTTAAAAAGCATTTATAAATGTGCTTACATTACTGTTATTCATATTGAGACACAAAAATGGCACTGACATAGTTTAAGATAGGTAAGTGCAAGTTGTTTCCAGTTAAGACCGCTCAAACATGCTTTTTAGTCTCAGACTAGGCTTAAGCCTCATCTGTTAAACCGCACAAATGTTTTAACCACAAAGTCAAAACCAGAGTATACAATGTACATGTTTCTAAATAATGACAGTTGAAGTCTTTAATAGCATTATAAGTGGACTTCAGAGAAAATTAAAAATGTTAATTTAATTGTTTCTTTTTTCCCCCCCAGACACCTACAACGGAGGCAGCGTGGAGAGAGGTGGCAGCAGGATTTGAAAACAAGTGGCAGTTTCCTAATTGCTTGGGTGCCATAGATTGCAAGCACATCTACATCCAGCCACCTGCAAACTCTGGAAGCACCTACCATAATTATAAGTTAAGATTTTCTGTTGTGCTCATGGCAGTAGCTGACACCAACTACAAATTCATCTATGCTAATGTGGGTATACAAGGAAGCCTGTCAGATGGAGGAATATTTGGCCAGTCAGACCTCCGAGCTGCCATGGACAGAGGTCTGCTGAATGTCCCCCTTCCAGAGCCACTACCAGGCAGTAACATAACTTTGCCTTATGCATTTGCTGGAGATGAAGCATTCCCTCTTCGCAACGACGTGATGAAGCCATTCTCCTTCCGAAATCTGTAGTTTTAAAATCCTTAATTCTGAAAGCAGATCGATAGAAATTGTCAGATGATAGATGGATAGATAAATAGAAAATGTCAGATGATAGATAGATAGGAGAGTTCACAAATTTAACAGTTGGAAAGAACTGTAACAACCAACTTACATTCAGTGTAGACAGAGATACCCGTGGTACAACAAAAGGTTGTAGAAATTGGAGGTTTTTTAAAATCCACCTCTGTCTGGGAGTTAAGTCTTTGTCACTGCTGCCACTTGGTTTTGGACGGAGTAGTTTCCCATATTGTGTTCGGAGGGAAGCTGCTTTTGTTTGGACCTCAACGACTAGGGAAGAGATAAGTAAATTACAAATCTAGCAAATCCGAATGTTAAATGCCTCTGTAATTGTCTATCGAGTGTTTCCTACAGACGGCAGTTCCCCCCATATATATACAGTGGGTACGGAAAGTATTCAGACCCCCTTAAATGTTTCACTCTTTGTTATATTGCAGCCATTTGCTAAA